TTACGAAATACTATTTTTGCACTCATTACGAAATATACTATTTTGTTAGTGATGTTACGTTCAGCGAGTGTCGAACTGTGCCATTTTTCGTTTACTAGTAAACGAAAAGTCTTTTCGTTTACATATGTGGACTTTTCGTTTCCTTAATCTCAATTAGGAGGGGAGATGTGAATTTTTAATTACCGGGAGTCACTGTGCGCCGCAAAACAATTATTTTTCTTACTGCGCTGTGATGATCATGACAGTTTCTTCCATTTTCTACAGAGATTAAGGGATGAACGAGGGTTAATTGATGGGTAATTTAGTTCTCCGTCAAACAGCCTTTTTTTCATCCAAGAGAGAGAGAGAGAGAGAGAGAGAGAGAGAGAGAGAGAGAGGGAGTGAGAGCGAACGGCTGACGAAAAAACTCAAATGATTCTTTTTCTCGCATTCAGTACGTGATGTTCCAGAGGCCCGTGCGCGCATGCGCAAATGGTGGGAACAATGCTGAAGGGAGTGGGAGCGAGACGGAGACTTCTCTCTCGCACAAAAGGTTCTCATTCCCGGCGCCGGATTTACGGGTTGGAGCTAGAAAATTGCGTTTAACTTTGAATCTATAGGAGGTTCGCGGGTACGATCAAGGCAAAATTTGTGGTAAATGTTCTAATAAAAAATATGGAAGAAAAAAAAAATAAATTCGTGGATTCAATGTCAAGATATAAATAGCAACATATATTAAATTCGCTCTGAATAAATAAACAAGCTATTGAAAAAAAAACTGATATTCCGAGTTACAAAAAAAAAAAAATTCATTAACTTTAATTTTTTAAATGGAAAACATTTTTTTTCCCCATCTTATCTGCACGCGGCTCTGGGGGATGAACGGGTGAGAATAGGGTTAAGTGCCCCAAACATTTTTTGTGTAGAATTTTGAGCTCTACAACTTTGTATATGACGTTTTTGGACGTACAGCAGGTTATTCACGAGTTATTTCAAAAAAACCATTTCCAGGGGTAGTTTTTTGGCTTTTCCAACCCCCGCACAAACTTGGTTCACTTTTCGTCACAGCGGGATGAAAAATATTGTTCATAACTCGTGAAAAAATGTTTTTTAGCTCATGGGATTATATCACTCGCCTTCGGCTCATGATATAAACCTCCCACTCGCCAAACAACACTTTTTTGCACTCCTTACGAAATATACTAATTCATTAATCTATTCTTATTGAATTAATCCCATTATGTGTAGATCGCTGGAGAACAACGAAAACGTTCCAACCGTTCAAACGAGTTGGAATATTTTCTCTCTCCTACTTCTCCATTTTCTTTCTCACTCGCACTCGTTAAGTTTGGCGGAGGACGGGCAGGTGCCAACGCGATGGAGACGACAATGAGTGGGAGCGAGCGCGATACATATTCGTTTCTCACTCAGGGGGGGAATAAATATATATAATCGAACATTACTATAGTAAAAAAAAAAAAACAAAATTTGCACAATTATTCAATAGAATCATTGGAAAACTATAGAGTTTTTCAGCGACAGCGCTAGGATTTTCTATGAATTTTTTGACCTACGTGTCAATAATAAATATGTCGAGAAAAAGGAAAAGACTTTTAGATCATTAGATTCTGCATTCATTATACTATTGATTATAATATGTTCGATTTTACATTCCTGACAATTATTACAAAATGCGAGGAGCTACCGTATTTAGAACCCCTTTCCGGTTATNTTTTTAGCTCGTGGGATTATATCACTCGCCTTCGGCTCGTGATATCAACCTCCCACTCGCCAAAAAACACTTTTTTGCACTCGTTACGAAATACTATTTTTGCACTCATTACGAAATATACTATTTTGTTAGTGATGTTACGTTCAGCGAGTGTCGAACTGTGCCATTTTTCGTTTACTAGTAAACGAAAAGTCTTTTCGTTTACATATGTGGACTTTTCGTTTCCTTAATCTCAATTAGGAGGGGAGATGTGAATTTTTAATTACCGGGAGTCACTGTGCGCCGCAAAACAATTATTTTTCTTACTGCGCTGTGATGATCATGACAGTTTCTTCCATTTTCTACAGAGATTAAGGGATGAACGAGGGTTAATTGATGGGTAATTTAGTTCTCCGTCAAACAGCCTTTTTTTCATCCAAGAGAGAGAGAGAGAGAGAGAGAGAGAGAGA